CTTGGAGTCCAGAGAGCAGGAAGATGATTGAGTCTCTGGGAAAACTGGCTTTTGATCAGCTGCAGAAAGGAAACCTGATCATCTATGAATCAGACCTAAAAGAGTGTGGCATTGACATCGCAGCCACCTCACTGCACTCAGGAGTGTTCACACAGATCTTTAAAGAGGAGAGAGGACTGTACCAGAACAAGGTGTTCTGCTTCATCCATCTGAGTGTTCAAGAGTTTCTGGCTGCTGTTCATGTCCATCTGACCCTGATCACCTCTGGACTCAATCTGATGGATAAACAAAACACCTCAAAGTGGTCTAATTTACTTTACAAATCAAACCTAGAGTCTCTCCACCAGAGTGCCGTGAAGAAGGCCTTACAGAGTCCAAATGGACACCTGGACTTGTTCCTCCGCTTCCTCCTAGGTCTTTCACTGCAGAACAATCAGACTCTCCTAGAAGGTCTGCTGACACAGACAGGAAGTAGCTCACAGACCAATCAGGAAACAGTCCAGTACATCAAGAAGAAGCTCACTAAGAATCTGCCTGCAGAGAAAAGCATCAATCTGTTCCACTGTCTGGGTGAACTGAATGATCATTCTCTAGTGGAGGAGATCCAACAGTCCCTGAAATCAGGAAGTCTCTCCACAGATAAACTGTCTCCTGCTCAGTGGTCAGCTTTGGTCTTTATCTTGCTGTCATCAGAAAAAGATCTGGATGTGTTTGACCTGAAAAAATACTCTGCTTCAGAGGAGGCTCTTCTGAGGCTGCTGCCAGTGGTCAAAGCCTCCAACAAAGCTCTGTAAGTACATTTGTACTCATGTCTTTATTTTTTAACATCCAACTGTGTCAGTAATTTATTTCACCAGGCTTTCTGTCTTTGTATGAATTTGTATCCTAAAGCTTTGGACTTTCTTGAATACAACTGTAACCTCTTTGATCGCTCAAGAACTCGGTGTACCTGAGATGCTGAATCATCACTGCTGCTGTTGTGTTATCAGTCTTTGTTTAAAAACTGGGGCTACATGTGCCTGATGTTGTAATACTTTACCTTCCCATGCATGCTCCTAGATACATTTCTACTGCAGGTATATTTTTAGTCACAAATGTTGGTGAAACACTTGCTTTTACATTCAGGAAGGCTCATGCATTAAACAAAGCCTTTGCCTTTGAATTACTCAGTGAATCATTGCAGCCATAGAATCATCCTTAGTCACACTTTTTAAGCTCAGATTTCTGGGCACTTCCCAGGATTTACTGAGCAGTATTTCACCCACCTCTCTCCTTTCCATGTGTTCATGTCCCACTGTTAAATTGAATTGATTACTAAACTCTGTTTAACTCTTCCAAAGTGTGTTTTTTGTTTCTTTGTTTTTTCTGGCCTGCTCTCTTCCCTCACTCCAAACTGGTTGCAGCAGATGGTTGTCCCTCCCTGAACCTGTTTCTCTTCCAGTTTTTCTTTCACACTGTTGCCAAGTGTGCATTGTCACAATGTTGGTACGGACTGAAATGGAAACCAGGGGTTCCATTACCCTTACTTTTATTTTTATTAATTGACTGACTATTTAAAAACTATAATGAAGAAAAACACATTGGTCGATACTGATTTATTAGGCTTATTTGGGTTAGTATTTAAGTGACTGTTCATGAAAGGTGAAGAAACGGGGGACTGGCTATCCTACCCGTGTCAGGAAAAGAACCCAAGTTAAAGGTTCCTTAGTCTACGATTACCTGGATGACTGAGAACCTTCACAGACAACCCAAGTTAAAGCTGTTCCCATTTACTCATTTGTCTGTAACCTAAATTCTTTGTATATGTAAAAAGAGAAGTGGTAACAGTACTCGTCTGTCCTGCTTGCTTCTGTTGCAGGATGTGGAGCAAAAGTGTAAAAGCAGTTCAATCACCAGCTTATGAGCTCATGGAGCAAACCAATGTGCCAGGCTAGGGGAGTGTGGTTAAGTTGTAATGTGTATAGAAGTGGTTGAAGTCTATATGTTTTTGAGTTATTTATAGGACTTGTCATTTGGTTTGCTGACCCCCAGCTTTGGTCTATTCCAGATGGTCACCTGAATGGTAGAGTATAAAAGGGGGACATTTGGTTTTTAGAAGGGTTGGTTTCTTTGGTCTGTCAACACGTGTTCTCTTTAATAAAGTTAGGGTTAGGGTTAGGGAATTTGATGGATACATTTTACTCTAGTCTTGTGTCTTGGACAGTCTCGGTCGTTGTGTCCTTGGGCAAGACACTTCACCCGTTGCCTACTGGTGGTGGTCAGAG